GGCACTGCCCCGCGCCTTACCGTAGCTGCTCCCCGGTGACCAGGACCTCGGCCATGCGCTCCAGCTCCCTTTGCTGCGCCCCGCCACTCCCGCTGGGGCTGCTGTCGCTGCCACCGCTGCCGGCGCTGCCAGCGCTGCCGCCCTCCATGCTCGCGGCCGCGCCGCTACCGCTGTCTCGGCTGGCCGCTCGGGGTTTGGGTGTTAAATCAGCCTGCCCTCAGCGAGGCCTCTCCCGCCATCTTTGTTAGGGGCAAGCCCGCTGCTCACCCGCGATTGGCTGGAGAGGGAATCCCTGTGGGTGGCCGAGGCGCCCGGCTAGTCCGCTCTAGGAACTCCAGCTTGGGGGCGGGGNTAAACATCGGGGCGGGGCGCCGCGGCCGCGTTTTGGGGGCCGGTGACGGTTGAATTAGGCGAGCGCCCTCTCCTTGACCCACGGAGCTCCCGCTGCAGGACCCGGGGCACAGGCAGGGGGATTGCTAAACAAGTGTGAAGGTATTTTAATTATACTTTCCATGCCCCAAATGGCCGAAAAGTAAAAATAGTAACAGTATAGCTAAATAGTGAACGATGAACAATATACAGGTCACTCCAGGGCCCGGAGAAATTAAGTATTTTTCTCTCCCCAGTCCTCTTTACCAAAGGCAGTTTACTTACCTTATGTTGTAATGAATAAAGAATGCTGGCCTGGGAATCAGACAGACCTGGGATCCAGTTCCACGCCCACAGTTAATCCTGAGTTTCCTCCTTTACAAAATAAAAATAATTGTGGCTACCACTTGTTGACATGTGCTGCATACTTCGGGTAGTTGTTAGTGCAACAAATCATAAAATGGGTTTTTTTCCTCATTTTATATCAGGAAGCAGGCTCAGAGAGATGGGGAAACTTGTCCAAGGCTAGCAGCCAATAAATGCAAGAAGAATCAAACCCAGGAGATTCTGGCTACAAAGTTGTGTTCTTAAAAGATTGTCTCTTAAAATAGGGATATGATGGTATTGTCTACCTTACAGGGAATAGGGAAGGAACTTTGACTAATGCCAAGTGTCCTGTTTTTCTGTCTCATGCAGGGTCAGAGCCTGGTCTACAGGAAAACTCAAGTAATACTAATGGCAGCAGTCATTGTAGTAAAGGGATATCTGTGGATTGATGTTTTATGCAGTTCGTTACAGTATTTGCATAAATACAAGTCTCTGCACTCTTAAATAAATGTGAGCTACTTTTTAAAATTAACAATATCTTGAAAAACAATCTCTCAATTGCTTATATGCAGTAGAAGTCTATAGAATAAAAATGAAAATGAGAGGGGTGCTGAAAATCAACTCCTTTGTATATTTTATACCAATTCTGCTATTCAAGAGTATTTATACCATCTTGAAAGTTTATTGTTTTTATTGTTCAGTTTTGTTATTTGAGTGTCGTTTTTAAAGATCACCATAGCCTTTTCCAACATTCTGCAAAATGACTACTTAACTAAAAATCTGCAACAATTCATTGAACATTTATTCTGTGCTTTACATGGTGCTAAGCACTTTGTTTATGTTATTTAACTTATTCTCACAGAAAGCCTGAGAGTTGAGTATTCATGATATCAGTTTACAAAGGAAAGGCTTAGGCATAGTTTGCCTATCAAACCTAGAAAGTCAGGCAGCCCTCAAACCCTACTTCTGCACACTCCCAAGGCCAGGCTCAACCACACTCCAGAGGGAGAACAATTGTCCAGTTGCCTCCTGAATTCAACAACGGATATTAGGCAACACTTTTGCCAAAAGAAATTATCTAAATTTCTAACTTTTTAAATAGACCATGGCAAACATGTATACCAGGTGAGAAAATGTTCCCAATGAATGTGATTCTAAGAGCCTCATTCTTCATTGAATAAAATTACTTAACAAAATAGAGTTCCCAGAGTTAATAAGTTTAACAGCTGGCTGTTGCTCATGTTAGTTTGGTTTTTTTGTTTGTTTGTTTGTTTTTTAAATATGTCTTTATTGATTTCAGAGAGAGGAGGGGAGAGGGAGAGAGAAAGATAGAAACATCAATGATGAGAGAGTCATTGATTGGCTGCTTCCTGCATGCCCCCCACTGGGGATCTAGTGGGCAAACTGGGCATGTGCCCTGACCAGGAATCGAACCTCAATCTTCTAGATCATAGGTCGATGCTCAACCTCTGGAACATGCCCAGCTGGGCTGTTGCTCCTGTTTTAATCCTGTAACAAAATATCAAGAGTTGGCATGGGCTTCACACTCAAACATTAAAAAAAGAAGAAAGGTCTAAAAGCAATGATAAAAAGCTAGAAAATAAAGTAAAGCAAACCCAAAGTAAGTAGCAGTTCATGTTTAATAAATATTCCTTCTTTTTCTTTTCCTTAGGGACATGCGAAAACTTTTTGGGATAATGAGTATTACCAGTGATATCGGCCCTGGGGTCTTGAGTGTGGCAAAGAAAGAATTCAGAGCCAAGAACTCTAGCATAAGAGGAAGTTTATTTAGTGTGCAAAGCAAAAGTACACTCGAAGAAAAGATTTAAGCGCCTGCTCAGAGAGCTGTCCTGGCCTTTTAGAAAGAAAGTCTCAGAGGCAGGAGAAGTGAGCCAGCTAGGCTGTGTGGACTCACGTAACAACTTACAGAGGCAAAAGAAGGGCTCTTGGAGCTAGGTTCAGGGGGTTAGCCAAGGGACGAGATGGAGCTGCCCACTGCTCTTCTGGTTGCCAGTCTCGTGGGAACCTTTAGAGTTTAGGAGAAAGAAAGCAAAGTTACATGCCTGAAGAAAGAAGGCAGGGGTGTGCTCCAGGCAGAGCACATGCTGTGTCCTTTGACTAAGGGTTTTTATCTGTTTTCTAAAGGCAGGAATTTTAGGGGAGGTCTCAGGAAAGAAACTCAAAAGAATATCATCTTTACAGGCGTGTCCTTTAATATGACTCATCCAAACGAGTGTATAGAGTCAGGGTCGTTGTCTCTACTGATTAGTCTATGCTAGGATAGGGGGTTATTGGTCATGCACCTGGTCCTGAGGTCAGCCATGACATTGCTTCACCTGGTTTTGCTGCTTTTCTGGGCCGGTCCTGAGGGTGTATTGCTTAAGGCAGTGATCTTGCAAGGGAGAAGGAGGCAGGTAATGAGGCCAGTTTGCATCAGCTATCTGTCTCAGTTTCCCCATTCCACCTGCCAAGGAATTTCCATGGCTTTTTATTATCCTGCCTCAATGAGAATGTTCTGCATTTGTCAGATCATTAAATTGTACCCTTTAAATGTGTGCAGTTTATTTTACTTAATTTATATCTCAATCAGGTTGATTTAAAAACAGAAGAGCCTTGAGGCAGAAGGGTATCCTGTGAATTTAGAGAATGTGGGGGAAAGGTTGTAACAGGGATAGTATAAGGTCTTAAGGACCTGAATAAGGACTTTCCTTTTCACTCAGAAGATTGGAATCCTGCTTTTCCGGGGCAGTGTTTCTGTGAAACATAAGACAATACTACCATCTAGTGGGGAAAATCTTGATTGTTTTATAAGCAAAGCCTTAAAGGTTTATTTAACCAAGAATATGAAGTTAAAATATCAACTGCTGTATTTCCCATAGAATTAAATAAGTCACATAAATCAGGACTTTTTTATCTGAAGTGATTTTAAGTAAACACAAGGTAATATAGTTTCCAATCCTCTCCTTAGAGGTAAACATTATTACAATTCATTCATTCAATTGTTCAGCAAATATACATGAAGATCCATTTCTGTAACTGTTCATGTACCTGTTAAATGAGTTTCTTTTATCCAGTCACCAGATGAATAATTAAGGAAGCTTCAAACATTTAAGAAAAATGTGTAGAAATTCTTTTTTACTTCAGAAAAATCTATCTATTAACATGGTTTTAAAAATGAATTAATAAAAATTATCATTATTCTATTTTAAGAGAGGAACCCAGGGCCTGCTTCCTGCCAGAAAAGCAATAATCTGATATCATTAGTTAATTAATAATAAAAAATATTTAATAAGTAAGAATAAATGAAACGACAAAAAGCTGTCATTTATTCAAAACCCTTTGTTTTGCATGCATTTTAGAAATGCAGGTAGTGTTATCTCCTTTTTACAGATAAGGAAGTTGGAGTGAGGAATTAAGCCAACTGCCCTAGGTTACAAAGCTAGCGAGTGCAAAACTGGCTTTCCAAGGCAGGCCTGCCCGATGGCAAAGCCAGCGTTCTCCTTACTCTAAGCTGCTGCTAGCTGCAGGGCATGCTTCTGGCTGAACAGAGCAGCCACAATAGCTGATTCCCTTCCTAATTGTGAATTCTCAGGAGGCAAAGGCCTTCACATTCAGCATTTTCCCGAAGCATTCTCGGCTGCTGTAAAATAGGTTAGTGAAGAACCTTTCCACCACCAACTAAGGAACCGCCCTGCCCCCTTGGGGGGCTCTACTCTGTATTTGCCTATAATTTCACCCAAAAGTTGAAAGAAAATGCCTGTCTTGAATTTCCTTTTAATTCAATCTTTTTTTTTTTTTTTTTAACTTGTACCAAAGTAATTTACACAGACTAGTGTGAGGCTACCACCTTTTGTTGTTGTTAATCCTCACCGGAGGATATTTTGTTCATTGATTTTTAGGGAGAGTGGAATGGGGGCGGGGGTTGGTTGCCACCCCACGCTCCCGAGCTCTCAACCAGCTCGAACCTACACCCAGGTTCTTGCCCTTGATGGGAATCAAACCCGCGCCCCTTCCTGTATGAGCTCTTCTGTTACAACTTTGTATTCAAGTCACTGTAAGATCTGGTCTTGAAGAAGCCTTAGAGAACACACCGTGGGCGGTTTACACATTTTACAGGGCTGAGTTTGCCTGTCTACCACAGGAGGCTGCAGGGCCTTGCCACCCCCAGAACGGCTGCATTCCTCTTGACACCCAGCTTGCCATGCGGCACAGACTAGGTACCCAGCCAGCGGATGGTGTCTTCTAGATGTGATGGTCTCCAGGTCCAAACAGGTTCTACCGGGCCTAGCTCAGCGTCCACGGTGTTTGCACCAAACCCAGCGGGACGCTTTTAGAGCCACAGACCGGGCCGCAATCTGACTTCGCCACCTCTTAGCTGTACAACCGCCGGCAAGGAGCTCGCTGGCTCCTTTGGAAACAGGATGACCGAGGCCCACTTCATGGGGCCGTGGTGAAGGGGTCATGAAATTCTGCCGGCCAAGTGCTGTCACAAGGCCCGCCACCGGCAGAAGATCAGACTTTTGCAGGCGAGGAAGCGGGGGTACAGCTGGGAAACAAGGGGCGCGGCGGGAGGGGTGGGTGAGAGCTCCGCGTGGCACCCCACGGGGTCGGGCTCGCCTCCCGCGGCTTCCCCCGGGCGGGCCCGGGCGTGTTTC